AATTAACAATGCTAGTTAGTTGCGACGTAGTTGTAAACATACGTGCCGTATTATTAATTACTTGATAATAAATAATTATTAAACGTACTACGCGTTAATTAAACCGCAACACAATAAGAGACCTGCAAATTATTGATTGCAAATTTACAAGTTAACAATGGAGTCCTTTCTTCAAACGTTTGCCGGTTAAATTTCAACTGTCATTATAATAATATCATGTTATTCGACTAGAATATAGCAATAAGTAATCGGATTAATTTTGCGCTGCACTAATTAAATTAAAAGTAGAATAAACGAATAAAACGACAAGTTTGCAAACTTGCGCTTGCTAACTTCCGTATTAAGTCAAAAGTGATGTGCTTACATCTGGACAGTCAATACCAGCAAGGCTTTGTTGTTTGATACCGGCAGCATTAATCCCTACGTAATTTCAATCTACCATCGACAGCGCTGTACACAATCCGATACCGTAGTCAGCGTTTTATTCATTGACGGCTGTCTGGACTCAAAGACTTTCAGTTACAAACACGAGCGCTAAAGCAAGCAAAGACCCGCGCCCAGCTTGGTAGCTCAGCTTGAATTAACAATAAGCAAGAGCAGCCTGAGGGACTCGCCGTATTTGACTTCACGGCGGCAAAAGTGTCCTACCTTATGACGTTTGCTAAAACCTTGCAATTTATGTCCGCGCGTATTCCTTCTTTGACGGCTCCTCGAGCTTTTCTTTTTCCGCTCTGCGAACTCAAAAGGTTGCGCGAAACATGAAATATGAATGCAGCTCAAGTAGTCGCGAACGCAAACGTTCGTGTCGAATGCGTCGTATGAATTGTTTATTCCGGCAGCGCCGTCGTCATTTTCTTGAAAATTCTTCTCGGACAAATGCGCATATTTCAATTATTACTGTTCGCCATATGTGCAGTTCGATATTTTATGTTTTAAAATATATCTCGACTCTGCTTCAATTGTCACTTGAGGCATAATCGACATAAACCTCACTAACAATATCGCAGGTGCCATCGCGTTTATGGAGTCAGCACGATATCCGCAGCGGTGAATCGATGTTCTGGAATTGCGACACGGCGACCTCATAAAATTTCGCAATTCGGGACGTGAAAATCCTTCGAAGCGAAAGTGGCAGTTCACGTCCGTAAAAAAAAAAAACGAACGTATGGCGAAACGTTATGACATTTTAGAGAAATATTGTTTCAACCAGTTCTACTTTAATATTTAGATTTCTTATTTTACAGCACGATTCAATTTGGGTAATACTATAAGTAGACGATTGATAGCGGGGCTAAAAAATATTCGGTTTAATAACGGGGCTCTTATTTAACTTGATAATTATTTCAATAATTGTTACATTTGCTATTAATGCTTACGTGACAGTGTTGAATTTCACGTATCTTCTTTGCAACAATTACACGCGCGATCTAACAATGAATTTTCCACCAAACAGATTTTACTCCAAGGGTAGTGAATTCATGGCGAAACTAACAGATGATGCTTATTAATTTAGCAAAAAGTCCATTATCTCATATTACGAGCCTGCCTCATAATAGAGGACCCTCCTCTACTTCTACAAATTAGGATATAGGATAAAGATCTTTTCCAATTAAATCTGTCAGTGGCATGCTATGATACACTGCAGTACACAAAGTTTTAAACGACGTAACGATTCCAATGTTTAATATACTTGGGGATTTTTCTGATTTCATAAATCGAGTAATTGAAAAGGACTGACATGCAGGAGAAAATCGTGTGTTTGTAAAAGGTTTCTATGGCATGATAAAAAGCACATATAGCGTCCCCAGTGCATCGAAAAGCGGCGGCTTTTGTCACATATCGCTAGGGTGAAATAGGATTCGTTACGAGCCGAAAATCCGTTTCATTGGGAAGATTCAATAAAAACGCGGACGAAGCCCGATTTTTTTAAATCTGCGCAAATAAATCTCGAAACTCTGGGAGCTGCGTGATATTTTTTTGCCCGTCGTACGCGATAAAACATTCAAAAAGTCGCATAAAAATTGCATTCGGTGATACATGAAGCGTGAAGGACGATATGGTCTTGACAAAAGTAGAAGACGTGTAACGTTGGCAAGGCATGAATTCAAGGCAATTAGAAATTTTTCACAATGTGGAGCAAGTCGACCGCAAACTGATTCCGTTGTGACAAAAAAGAGAATAGCTGTAACTCTTATGAAAAATGTACCTCCTTCCAATTAATTTTTACATTAGGTATTAGAGAAAACAAAATAGTTACTGAATACTATTTTGTAAAAATAATTGCAACAAACACCGTTACCGTTTTTCTATGATTGTATCAAACGCTTGCATTGTCGTATTCTCGCATGTTTTATTTAACAATTGACGATAGCACATTCTTTTAAAAACTGCACGCGAATTAAAAAAAATTGAATATTAGATATTGTAATGCTATCAGTCTGAAACAAAACGCGAGTAAATCTGTAAATCCGATAAAAGTAAACAAATTGCAAATGCAGCAAATATGATTATTCAATCAGTCCGCGACTGCATATTCAGCTTTCACTCGTGTACGAGAATACATTCATTACGCGCCGATGCAATTACACATTCCTTTTAGCGAGTTCTCGGGAAAGATGACGGGAGACTCGCATTTCTCGCGCGAGAAACGTTAGACACTTCTACAAGGCGATTCGCGAGAGAGTAAGTCGATTTTACATTTAATTCCGGCATTTGTTTAAGAGAACAAAGTAATAGGATTTTTATTAAAAGAGAATTTTCTCTCTAATTTTATTTTTCTCAAGTACATTATTTCTTCATTAATAATGAGATTTGTATTGGTGTTGAAATATTAAGATTGAAGCTAGTACCTCACCGTGATTCGCGCGAGAGGAAAGTCAGATAGGGCATGTCGACACGTTCCCGTGAGGACGTACGTGTTCCAACGTGTTCCTCATTACATATTACGACTGCATATGTTCTGTATGCGCGCCATGCACTCCTTCCACACCGGAGGTGCTCTCATCGCAATTTCCTCGTCGCATAGCTAAATGGTTCTAACGTGTTGAGACTGACGCCAGTCATTTTGAATGTCCCGACTACTATAGAACAATGACAGCTACACATATGAAATTTAATGAAGATTGAGGGCTCAGGATTCTCTCAGAGCGATGGGGGGTGTTTATGAAACACTCGAATGCTTTAAATGCCACCCTTGAAATTCTTCTTTTTTTTCAGTAAAAAATGCACGATATAATAAAAGCACGAAATAATAATATATAAAAACATTGGAATCACGATAACGAAAAATTTCATTAGTTTTTTGGAAAAATAAAAAAGAGATTTTTTGACACACATATTTTATATCTAATGAAAAGAATTAGATGGTATGTGTAAAATAATTTAAAAAAATAATACGATTTAAACAATTAATAAAATTTATAAGGCTCTAATGTGAAAACACAAATTCGAAGTAATAAAGGAGTAAAAGCCAAGACAGGATGTTAGTGTCTAAATTAGTGTCTAAATAATTTTAATTTTTAATCTATTGCAAAAAATAATACCTCAGCCAGGGTTTGAAATATGTTTAATACACGCGATATAAGTTATATTGTTACTTTTAGTATCTTACGTTTGTCATGAAAATTCATTCGTGACACGCGTCATTCGCGTATGGATATGTGTGTATACATGTACATATATAATTATTATACAAGTGCATTAACACACAGTATGGTATATAAATTGCAAATGTGGTTCATAATTAATACACCGAGTGTCACCTGGTAATCGAGATATGAAACCGCACGATGTTTATCGACTGCAAGTATGTACCATATACGATTCCCCGATGCAAGTTGTAAATCTAACAAAATGTCATACGCTACTTCCGCAAATAATTATACCACAAATCTATTATTTTACAATAATTAATTTTTGACGTCGCTGAATAGGAATTTTTTATGCGAAGGGTGCTCGGGAGTGAAAAAACTCACATAGAACTTATTATAATAATTACAATATTTATTATCACAAACTATGAATTACAGATCGTACACAGTAATGTAAGAAAAGCCCATTTGTCGCGAATTCATTCCAGTCCCCTTTGTCGCGCGGTGAAATCGCAATCGGTACTACGAATATCTTAATCATTCCATTGACGGATCTTTACACAATTGGATAGAAAATTAGTCTTCGCAAAGAGGACCGAAACAATCCTTTGAAGAATTGTGACTTACAATGAGAATTTCCCTCAGGCCTCTCCGTCATCTATTTGTTTATTATTATACACGATATATCGCCTGAAAATTTCACGAAGAAGGCACCCTTTGACAGTGAAAATTATACACTTAAAAATAGATAAAAATTATATTGTTTTCGTAAAACTACTATATACATTCACAAACTAATGAAATTGTAGATGCTATAAAATCTTCGTATCTCGTGCTAGCCCTTTTTTTCAGCTCATTTTCATTTCACGCGTATTATACTTGTAAAGTGCTCGTGTGATTTTCGAAAAATTTTTTCGTAAAATATATTTTTGCATACCAAAAATAATCAACTATATAATTATGTCAACTATATAGTTATATAGGATATATAATTATTTATATATATATTTTCATATTAATATATATCTAAACAATTATAAATAATTTTATATATATAGAACTATTAATGTATGCAATTATATAATTAGAACTAACAATAAGTACATAATTATATAAGTATATACATTTATGGGTATTTTGTGTGTGCTGATAAATTGGTAGAATAAAAAAAGCTACAGTTCGTATCGGCTCCGCAGTTTACTTTCGAGAAACGTGCACGCTTTGGAATGTGGCGACGAAAATGATCCTAGGACGCATTTTTGACCGATGTAATCTGAATTATAAATAATTTAGAGGTATTCCTCTCTCGCTTTGTCGAACTGCTCGAAGAGCGCACCGAACTGTAGCTGAGCCCATCGAACTTTGCCACGCTAGATCGGAACTTTCTATTTTTCGTCAATTCTTTTTCTCTTTTTCTTTTGTTCTTTACCTTCTCAAAACGTTGCTCTCTTCTTGCCGTGATCATTACGTATGTATAAAACAATTATTGCAATTTGCCTAGCGATAAAAAAAAAGAAAACGAATTCTTAAACAATAACAAGGTATACCACGTGCTGCTAAGAATCACATAAATGCTCGACGTTCCCGGTGATCCGTGTCTCGATTACGACCAGCTTCTTTTGATATCGCGGAGAACCGTGAACGTGATTCTTCGAAACGTTAGTCCATCGAAACGACAACGGCCCTTGCCCTCTGCGGCTTGTGTCATCGATCGTGTTTCAAAGCACGGTCTAATATCGGGATTATTTTGCCAAATACGTTTTCCGACGCCACTGGTATGCAAGAAGGGACTCCACGTCGAACATCGCATTTCTTCTATTTGCGAATGAACATAAGATAAATGATTCTGCATACGTTTGACATCTAAATAAACTCGGCAAAATTGTATCGATATTAATCGTTGCTTTTAGAAAATGCTACTGTCGCAAACGATACGGTTAACAGTGTCTCAAAAAATTTTCCCCGTTCAGTGCGATCGCGCGGAGCGAACTTTTCATTTGTCAGATTGATATGTGTACACGCCATACCGATCGATAGTGATTGATTAGTCGCAAATTCTCGTCGTAAGTAAACAGAAGTTTCACAATTTCCAGCGGAATAAATTTCTCTTAGCTAATCTTAATTAATGTCATCTAAGTAATTTCTTCTTAAATTAAAATACCATCATATATATACGATAAATTCTCATATATCTTTGTATACTGTCAAATTGTTAAAATACCGCTCTCGACATATCGGTCAAATCTAAAAGAACTAAAAAGGTATTCGCTTGTCGCTTGTCAATTAATCGATTCCGCCTGGAATTCGTCGCATGAGAAAAGCGATTATTTCGTATTGCAAATCTGACGAGCAACGGGTCATCGCGAGTAGACATTTTGCGACGCACTGTCGACGCTCCCGCAGACTTATTTGACATGTTCGGCTACAATTAATAGGAAATTTACTCAACAGTTTCGCATTGACTGTGACTGGATCTTCGGCGACACCTCATTACATGTGAATAGTCGCGGCCGTATAACGAGCCTCGCCTCTTCGCCAGCTCCATTGGCTCGGACGATACTGAAAGGTTAATTCCGTGATAGATGAGATCAGCAAACGCATTAACACATTCGATTAAGAAACCGGTAAGGCGGAAAATCCGCCTTTAATAGCCAATTAAAGTGAAAAACAATTATCGATATTCCAATGAATATATACAAAATTATATTATTGTAATAATCGATATCAACGAGTGAGATCATCAATATTTAATCTTTAATGGGTAATAATAAAGAGAGTCAATAGGCAATAAGTAATAAATAATATTTTAATCAGCAATACTGTCAATGCCAGCGATGGTGTATTAAAGGAGAATAGTAAATTGAGAAAAATCGATAATTATTCGTTTACGTAATGCTATTACAAATTAATAGTATACTATAAAGAGAACCAGTCTTACCCTGATCAGCATCTGTCCTGATGGGCTGTGAGGATTGCGATAGGCGTATACCCCCCAACCCGCGAGACCCACCACAAAAGCGACGACGGTGAGAATACCGATTATCCCGGAAACGCTCATGTTCACCTTGTTCGAAGCTAAAAAATAAACGGAATAAATTGCTACATTCAATTGCGATTATCCCGGATTTCAAAAGAAAAGAGAGAGAGAGAGCAATTAATACACGCCAATTTCAATTAACAATGAAACGAGCTTGGAACTAAATAATCACGGAAATCACTCAACCCAATTTCAATCGGTTCTAAGATGAAGAAGTCGCACTTTTCATATAAATTTGAAGCTACTTTACATCACGCACGGATCTACATGCGTAAGATTTTGGGGTTTTGTCAAATTCAACCAGTGACTCGAATGACGCAAATGACTCAAACGAACGTTAAACGAAGGTACTTACCAGGGCTCTCCAGGGAACTGCTGCCAGATCGCTCTTGCTTTATGCCCATCTCGTTGGAGGCGATTGACTCTTCTGGATGCACGTGACCATCGTGGTCATACTGATAGGGCCCTCTGTAAGTCGTTATCTGCGCCGGACAATTATCCGCATCCTTGATGTTACGCTTGTCGCAACCCTTCTGTAACCACTCCTGTTTCTGTCGGGATGTGCCGGTGCTGCATTTGTTCAAGTCCGGACACCACTTACAGTCGAAGTCGGGTTGCACCTTCGTCAGGCAGTCCCGGCAATTGTCGAAATTGAGACACGTGGGCAATGCTTTCAGGGAGATGACCGTGCAGTTCTTTATGTCCTGCCGGTCGAAGTGGACACGGTGGTACTCGTAAATGGTTTTCCGGCGCACAACTGCGAAGCGAGATCAGCGAATTGAATTTTCGTGGTGTATCTTCAAGTATTGGAACGATTTTGAATCTGCACGAGAGACGATAAGCATTCGCGATATGTGATTTAAATCACAACTTCGAGAATTTATATTTGAACTTAATAAATTGGAGCATGTTCTTGTGTAATTTAAATACGCCGAATAATATTTTGCGCGCGATAACTTGAAATCCTACGTCGTGAATGTCTGTCGTAACTTTTATTGCGAAAGTGATGGACCATACGAGTTTGTCATCGTAGAAAGTCGTAGAAGTTACGCTACTTCGTATGTAATTTCCGGTCGTTTCTCGGACGTCAAGTCAGACCGAGTCCAGTGAACATCGTCGTCAATTCGCGCAAAAGTTTTTCTATGTCCGACGAGATCAATAGCGATGGCGCAGATATTATCCCGCGACGGTTACGCAAATTGGGTAATAAGCGAGCGAACACTCACAGAACACGGTTCGGTCCATGATGTAGGCATCGCTTAGGCCGACCTTGACGGGATGCATCGTGTCCTCGATTTCCTTGAGAGGGAGCGGTATCACCGAATAGACAAACACGATGTCTCCGTTCTGATGCAAGGTCACCTGGAAAGTGAACTCTCCGTCTGCTGGCTTGTCCTGCAGCACCACCTTCTCCCATTCGACCGTAAACGCCGTACCTGCCGCACAGATCAAAAAGGGAATATAACAATCTCGCGCTGCGATCCGTGCACGACTCCGACGACTGTTTTGCGCCCGTGTTTCTTTGCCACCGGTTGCTTGACGAGGCGTGTAATTACGATCGGCAAATCGTCGTGCCGATTTATTCTTCCTCTCTCGCCCTCCTCTCTCACCTAGAGGCTGCTGATTGACTACTGACGCGATCGCTTTGCGACACGATCAGCTCGACGAGGAGAAAGGATTTAGAAAACCAGCTTAGAAGGATCCGAAAGGCCTATCGACTCTTTCGACAAGCATGCGGGATTTTAGAAGAACTCGCTTATCGCAATAAGATTTCTTTAAATCTTAAAGGCGCAAGTTATTTGAAAGCCACGGCAAACGCAAACACGTGAAGAATCTCGCTTAAGCGGCTCGATTGCAACGGGCTTTGATTATCAACGATTAACTTCGGAGGAACATGTAAGAGCGAACGTCCTTCAGATGGCACGAAAACGCCGTCCGAGATTCCGATGACTCACCGTTGTCAGCGTACTTGACGTAGCTGGTGTTTGACAGGCGGGTATCGAAATTCGCCATGAGCGGTGCAATGTACTGGGTGGCAGCCAGCCAGCTGTGCACGTAGTCGCCGGTGTACAGAAAACCGCCGGTAGCGATAGTGATATTGCGCACGTTGTAGCCGTAGAATGGGAAGTCGAACGTGAGCTTAACGGTCTGCAACAGTATGCGAATCGCTGCTCAATTCTGAAACTTATCCTTAGCGAAATTAGGGATTGAATATTCTGAATGTAAATGGACGTCATATTTGTACGGTACGTAGTAGTCGCTGCTCTTTCTATATCATTCTCAATTTCTCACAACAGTCGTTGTAATGCGAAATACTGGCAAGCGAGTCTCACCGCAGCACGTCGATGGCTCTGACTGAGCAGATGATTGACCCTCAGATCCGGGTGATTATCCAAGTCGACCCAGTATTTCTTGCAAATGCCGTCGTTGATGATAAAAGTGCTGTTGTAATACTGATGCGTGTCGTTGACCATCTTGGTGATGTTGTTCTGCATGAGCGTGGTATTAGTCACGTCAGAAAATTTGCTGATCGAAATATCGTCAATATCGTCGATTTTCATCGCGTCCTCTGCCGCGTTCTTTGCCGCCGGCGGTTCCGACTGCTTCACCTCGCCAGTGTCGGTGATATTGCGTATCGACAGGGTACGATTCGCCCATATGTGCAGCGTCTAAGGCGAACGGATTTCAAACGGGTACAAAATTGTTAAACGATCACGTTTTCGATGCGATTGACAAAATTAGAGATATTTCGCCTCACCTGCGAATCTGAGCGTAAAAACAATTCGATAGACCCACCACTAATACTTACTGTGTCGGTTGCAGGGTTTGCTGCCTGCGACGCCTTCTTCTTAAAATCCGGCTTGGGGCTAGAGACAGAGCCGGATGGCCGAACAGTGGTGGACGTGGCATCGCTGGTCGAGTAAGCCGCCGAGTATGTTACGTCGGTGGATGCATTGGTTGTGTTTGACGTCGCCGGTTGTGTTGGTGAGGCTGGTTGCTGCTGCTGCTTCTGCGGTTGCTGTTGCTGTTTCTGCGGTTGTTGTAGCTGCGGCTGTTGTGGTTGCGATTGCTGCTGTGGTTGCTGCTGGGGTTCCTGATGCGGTTGTGGTGGCTGCTGCTGTTGCTGTGGCTGCTGCTGGGGTTGCTGATGCGGTTGTGGTGGCTGCTGCTGTTGCTGTGGTTGCGGCTGCGTCAAAGGTTGGTCCTTAAGTAATTCTGCTTTCTGCTCGGTTGCCACCACCGATTTGTCAGGTGCCGCACGGCGTACCCTCGCTACATCCTCGCCGTCGATCAGCCTGATATTTGAAAACAGGTGATCGAACGACGACTTGCCATTCCATCCAGCGTAACTGTAGTAAGAGTGGTCTGCAATGTAGGAGAAAGCGCATTCTAGTTTTAACGTCGAAATCTTGAGACATATTGAAAAGAAATAGGTTCTAATACTAGAGTACACGTTTTTGTCTTTTCTCAGATTTTTCAGAAATAGAGTGAAACAAATAACACTAGAAAATTTAATTTGAAATTTGTACAAGAAATTTTAAGTAATCTTACGGGGAACATTATTTACAGGAAGATTAAATTCAACGATATTACGAAAAATAAGTTACTTTAGAGGCAATTTTTAATGGGTTGAAATGATTTATTATATATTAAGTAAATTTAAGAAATCTTTCTTAATTAATAACGCATTCCTGTAGCCCACTTATTCTGAATTTAATAAGTGAAGAGCTTAAGCAGAATATTACATTAGGTCATATTCTTTTCTAGCAAACTGGTGAACAATCGAGATTGCTTATTAATCAAAGTAAAAATAGAAATTAAATATAAGATTAAATTTCTAATTTAGAAAATGTTATGCATAACAAAAAGCTTAACGAGCTCGTGAGAACCCAAAGTGATTAATTACGCTATTCGAGTGGAACGCGGTTGGTTAAGAGTTAAGAAAGAAATTGATGAATCTTAGTGTGTTTTTATTTTATATTTGATTTAAAAAATTCTTAACCGTCAAGCTTATGGAGAGAAATATGTTCCGTGTCTATCGCGAGACAAAGACTCGTCCTTGAGCTCGCGTTGCAATTACGATACTACGACTGATCATTGAATGATGACTAGGACCAATCTATGACACACACATGACCGTGTTGCATCGCGTGCATTGTCTCCGGTTCGCACAGGTTCGCCGAGAGTGATTCCCTTCGAGGGGATCGGGTGTCCATTTAACCGATGCATCAACGTCAAGCCCATCGCCGGGTGTCCGAGATCAGTGCCATGAAACGCGGATTAACCTCGATTTCTACGCTCGCGATAGCCGCGGTGCGATTAATGGACAGTTCGGGGGCAAAAGTGGCACGGGATAAACTTTTCACAACCCACCGTTCACATTAAATTCGTTGCCAGGATCCTTACAAATTACTATCGCGCGCGTACCGCCTTAACATATTCTGCATACTCTAGTTACAATTTATCGGCCGCGATATGAATCCCACATTACATAAATATGGATATGAATTAATATTTTCTTCATTTTGTGGACTAGCTTTGCTAACGCCAATTAAGTTTTGAGGTTGACGTTTCGTTAGAATGATAGAAAATCGGACAAATACGAATTATCTTATTTTTATACTAAATGAGGTTGCGAGAAATATAAATGCGTCGAGAATAGTTTTTGTCGCTTAAAATTAGATGGTTAAAATCGGGAATAAATTTTCTTTTAGTAAATAGATTTGATAATTTTTCAGTTAATAGATGATGATTATTCTGTGCCGTAAAAGAACGTGTAGAAACGTCGGAGAGGAACGGGAAGTTAGGCGGCACGATCGACCGGATAGAGCAATAATTGACGATCCGACAAATCGGAGCGAACGTGCAAGCTTGACGTCAATGTAAAAGCGCAAGCCGAAACCAATCAACCCGGGCAGTCTGCTATCTTGGCCCTTTTTTCCTCGCTGCAAAACTATCTCCCTTTAATAATCCTAAAATCTGTTATTTTTCCCTTTTGAAGAATTTCGTGCCGTGATTTAAATTTCCAAATCATTATTTCAGACATTTTCTGAAAAATGACCAAACGCGCGTGCGAGAAAAAGTGATTAATCGAACAACCGGAATTAACGACAAACGCTAATTTGTAGACTAATGTCGCTCGTTGAACAAGCAGAAAGATAAAAAGAAAATAATGTCAACGCATAAAGCCGCCGAAAAACTGCTATCAAAGCGTGCTTGGAGAACTTTCACCGAATGAGTCAATTCTCAGAGATACGAGCAAGTTTCATTAGCCGTGCACCGCTGAATCGACTCGATTTCTTAATAGCCGCGGCGAATCGTAAAGTCGCTTCGCCGAATTGCGCAGATCGTAAACGCAAGCGACTTGGGCAACGTGTGAAGCTGCGTCGAGTTTTCGCGCACGCATATTGTGTCGTCGCGATTCAATCGTCACGTCGATGCACGATCGCGACTGTCGTCACTCGAGGTGGATGTAATTATTCTAATTGTACAATCGTTATTTCGGATACATAATTCGCGAATCGTAATGTAAATTTATGAGGTTTGCGACCGACTTTCGCGGAATTAATATTCACAACGCCGACCATTTCGGAGTGATAACAGTAATATACGTACGACATGCGTGGACAGCGCGTTAAACTTTCGCGTGAATATAATACGCTTGTAGAAAGGTACTCTTGAACAAATTAAATTGAACAGAAGCGGAGCGAAGCAGTCGAGCGCGTAGACCGCTTACGTATTGTGTGCCTCCCACGTTACATCGCTTTAACATTATTTGCCGCAATTATTGAGAGACTGCGGGTCACGAGGAGAATTGCGAGATACGCCGCGAGTTGCGACACGCGTCAGAAATATTTCTTTTATTCCAGAACGTTCGATCTCGCGCGTTTCACACGCGAGTACGTTTCCCATTCTTTTCCTTCCCGGCGCATTTTCGCGTCGCGGCGACATTCCGCGCGTAGACCAGACGTCGTGCAAGACGCGCAGCCTTGGACGCTATCAGTGAATGTCAATGCGAAGTTACGCCGCGTCTTAAATGGCACGGTTGAAGAACAATTTCTTACTGCGAAGACGAGTCGGGAAAAAGTATCCTGCATTCACGGCAAACGCAAAATGTACACCAGGAATCACTGGTGCCTTCCCACATGAATTTAGGCACAGATAGAACACATGTACATTTTCCATGCACCTACTCGACCTACTCTAATTCGATTACTAATTGTGGCCCCCAAAATGGGTTGCTAGCTGTCCTTTTTTTCCCAGAGTATATGCAAAATGCAAAAATGTGCCGGAATGTGCACAAATTTATGCGGAAAGACATCGGTGATTGCTAATGTACACAGATAGGCAGGAATGCCTGGACGTTTCTATAATTATAGAATACATAGAGTTGGGAAAGTTACTTTGTAAAAGTATCTAGTTACAGTTCTTTTGCTAAAAATCATTAAACAAATGAGATACGTTGAAATCATGTTTCGTTGAATCTACTAAATTTTTATTCACTTCGACCAAGACGTTTGCTAGATTTCAAGAAATGAATTTTCTTAGAGATTCCAGTCTCAATCGAATAAAATGTTGGTTAAAGTAAAGAAATTATTTCTTTGAAATTGAATAAAAGTCAAAGAAAATTTGTTTGACTGGTTTTTCTGGGTGCAGTTCGAACGCTCAACATTAATTAGCTCGGGTGATAATACTCGAAATACGAACAGCACCGACGACCGACACAGCCACGTCGATTGTGCAGCGCATCGAAGTGCAATACACCGCCGTATCTCACAGGCGCAATTAATATTCGCGCGATACTCATTAAACGTGTGCGAGATTTTAAAGGATAGCTTTGTGTATATGGTATCTCTGCGTCGCTGATTAAAACGCGCGTCGGCTCCGGCGAAGATAAGGCGAGACCGCCTCGGCGCGGCGTCTCGACGCATCCACACGTACGCGCGACATATTTTTAGACGACGCGAGTAAAAGGATGCTCCCACGTCGCAATTTTTACGCCTAAAACGAACGACAAAGAATAGATGACGTGTCCCTCGGAATTATTTAGCGATGTGAATGAAAAAGTCAAGATAAGCTAATAATGGAGAAGGAAAAAGCAAGCGTGTAGAAACCTGTACACAAGTATCTTTCCTCGAGACCATTCTGTACTTCGGAGTTTGTCCGGTTAATTAAAAAAACTTTTTTTTTATCAGTCTGAAGCGAAATTGTGCGGCAAACATGTACCGACGATAACAGTCGTTATAAAACGATTAAAAACACGATGGCAATTACTTTTAATGCCGGAAAATGCAGTGTCATATTCACCCGCCGGTCTCATTAACCCGATTATTTTAATTATTATATAAAAGCATTTACACGCGCCGCTCCTAATTGACCCGAATGCGAATCTCGAAAACATTTCTTCGTCACATTTCTCAATGAGGAAGAAAAATTAATTACAGATTGAAAGTTGACCGGCTTGGTTGAGGAAATTTACTTGTGCGACATTAATTTTTATGCGAGGAATGTTTAGGTGTTAGCTTTGGGGAATTCCTGGCTCACATGTGGAGGGGGTTAATAGTTCGATAAATAAACATAACTGTATGTGCGAAACGATGGCCACCTTTTTCCCACGAGGCCGCTTAAGGTTTTAATGAATTGCAGATTGAACGAATTGATGAATATGGGATGTGGCTTTCATTAGATCGGGCAGATCGCGCGTGTAACAAAAATAGCCCTCCTCTCCGAAGAGTCCGTTCGCAATTTCGCGGGCAAGCGCGCGCGCCCGTGTCCTCGTTCTAAATCTTTTTAAGGAGATTCAGTTGTGTCGCGCGATCGACGACGGGTCCTTGGATTCATTCGCGACGATTAATCGACTTTAGCGCGACCACGAATAAATCATCCGTTATTTATGGTGCTTATCGATTTTCATAAAAACACGACAAGCAGAGAGAAATCAATTGCAGAACATTCTGTTTCTTCCCTTGGAAAAAATAAAAGGGAATTTTTCCACTTAACTCTAACGAAACGTAATAATACTTCTGCTACAATTCGAAAGAATAAAGGATATAAGAGCCAAGACAGGATACTATAGTGGTCGAATTAGTGAGAAGGGAGGTCCAGGTTCAAACCCTGGCTGAGGTAAATGTTTCGCAATAAATTGAAAAATTAAAATCATTTAGACACTATAATATTCTGTCTTGGCTCTTACATCCTTTATTCCTTCGAATTGTGATTTTACGCCAGAGCCTTATGCATTTTCTTGTACAAAGTATATTACAACTTTGTTGTTTAATATACCCCTTGAAGTTCCCGCGTATCTATATAAGTAATCGGATATTATTGGAGCTAAAACGGATCGCGATTTCACGATATTGTGATAC